TATATATTCCATTATTTACTGGAATGTTGCCTCATAAGTTCCCTGAATATTTTTGTTCCTAAATTAAAGTAAGCTAAAGTCATGGGCAAAGGAGGAGGCCCTCCAGAGGCTGCAGGAAGTTTCTGGTAATTACAACAGAACTCCACTGGGTGGAGCTACTTCACCCAATTTATCATGTGTTTCTCCTAGGGCTAATTTCAAGGATCACTTCCTTAATCATGTTTAGTACGTTTTTAATCAAAGACAAAATTGATTTTATTTATATGTCATATAAAACGTTTGATGTATTAAAAAAATGCTGGTTTGAGGTTAATTCATACAACAACAACAGAAAGAATTGTATGCTTGCATGAGAATCAATATAAAACTTATAAAAAGTTACGAAGATATTGAACTATATACTTCATTGATTAATTTATGTTTTGATTTAATGTTAAAGAAAAGCCAAGATACAAATTTGTGTACAGGTAATACAGCACCCAAAAGGACTCTTTAGATATGATTTTCTTTCTATGCAGGACCATAAAAACTACGGATTAAAATTTAAAAGGAAACTGTTAAAAGAATTATTTGGTGAATATATTGTGTGAAATCTGGTATAGCACAATATGTTTATATTCAGAAATTTCTTTAACAAAAACTATGCTTTCCTATTTGTAATAATCATTGAACTAGTACTTCATTAACAGGTTCAAATAGTGTGTATTGTAAACACTTATGTGGAACTTTTGTTATTGCTGCAAGCTTTCTAAAGTAAACACGATTAGAGAGATGATCGTTGCAATAAACAGCAGAAGGGAGATGTGAAAAATTTGGTAAATTAGCTCCACCCAGTGGATTTCTGTGGTAATTACCAGAAACTTCCTGAAGCCTCTGGAGCGCCTCCTCTAGAATATAAAGCTGGGACAGCCCCACTGCCTGACAGAAAGCTGCACAAGAAACACAGGAGTGAAGAGACGCCTGAACAACAAGAAGACTCAAAACTAAACAGAAAGAAGATGCTGTGCTCTCATGGATTCCCGTCTGCCCTCAGTCCATTCATGGACTTCTCCTGGCCTGTTCGCAGTCTGTGGCCAGAGGTCAGACCTCTGTTCTACCAGCAGCATGTCATGCAGAGAGACCTACAGGAGCTGTGCAGCAGTCTGCAGCTGATGGACAAACTTCAACGCCAGATCCTGGAGGACACAGAGCCTTTCAGGAGCAGCGTGGCTCTGCAGCCAGTCTCCTACCAGCTGGACAAAGAGGGAGAGCACTTTGGCCTACCCCTGGACACTCAGGGCTTTTCTCCAGAAGATCTGTCAGTCCGGCAGGTGGGCAGGAAGCTGAGAGTTAGCGGGAAGATGGAGAAGAAACAAGAGGACGGGAAAGGCTCCTACTCCTACAGCCTGCAGGAGTTCAGACAGGAGTTTGATCTGCCTGAAGGGGTGAACCATGAAGACGTCAGCTGCCACCTTTCTCCTGATGGAAAGCTCCACATCCAGGCGGCCAAAGTTCCTTGTATCGAGGGAACAGAGAGAGAGCTGACTATCAAGAGGAGCTCAGAGGAGGAACCACAGCAGAGTGTGTGTTCACAGGAAAAGGACAGCAGAGCAGAAACACACAATGGATCATAAACAAACCTGATAATATGGACTCACATACATGTTGATGTGCCAATGTGATGATTTTATATTTCATTGATAATAGTCTTGTGTGGATTAATGTTGTTTTTGTGCATTACTGTATTTGTCCTCAGAAAACTTTGTTAAATGAAAGAATAATAGAGTAAATGGAAAAGAATAATAGTAGAATAATAATAACAGTAATAATAATAACAGTAGAATAATAGTGGTTCTGTTGGTGTATTTTGTCTTAGTATATTATAACAGAAATAACATTTCATCATGTAGAAAATAAAATGTTTTCTCAGTGTTTGGGGAAACACTTTTGAAAATCAAATTTGATTGTTGTTTATTAAGTACTTTGTGTGCATTTTTCATCTACACACTGGGAATATGATCATGAATTAGAATATTTTTTAAAAACTAAAATGTGCATCTCAGTAGTAAAAAAGCAGAACAAACTACATATAAAGTGAACATAGACCGAAATCAATAATTGTCTTCTGCGTATATAATATTGATTGAAACAAACATCTATAGAATCATTACGTCTGTATTTCTCAAACGATAAAATCTTATTTCTTGTTACATTAAAGAACATTAATAAGCACCAGGCATGCTTTCATGCAATATTTTTTGAGAAATCTCTGTTATAAATAATTTAATAAACTGGTTGTGTATATTTTTATAAATCTGTAAAATATTTAAGAAATATATTTAATAAATTAATTATGATGACTAATGCAATATTTTCACTGAAAGATGTTAGGTATGATGTTATTAATGTGATTTTAAGTATGAGAGATGTTCTTTGTTTAATAAAATCTTGTTGCCTGTTTATATGTATATTTATAATATGACAATAAATAAGATGTTACCAGTTGAGCTGTACTCGTCTTTATGTTTTTTTCTTCTTTTCAATATCTTAAACATTCAGAGCTTTGTTCATATTTCATCCACATATTTTTACATTTTCATGTAATTTCACAGATATTATTTGTTTCAGTTATATTTAAAATTTTGAAGACAATACTTGATTATTCCTTATTTTATATTTAGAAATTTCTGGTAGTTTAATGGTGGTCATTCTTAAAGTAGCTAAATTTTCAAAATGCAAAACATTGATTTTTATTTAATGTAAAGTTCTCATATTGTAAATTAAAACATGCACTCATACTTATTTGACGCCAATTTTCAAATTTTATTTTCAAGTGTATGCCAAACAACAGTGAACACATGCTTCCATTTATTAATACCATTATGTTCTACATGTTAGCATGTTATTTTCTGATATAGTGATCTAAATTTTCTTAATATAAAATCATCACATTGGCACATCAACATGTATGTGAGTCCATATTATCAGGTTTGTTTATGATCCATTGTGTGTTTCTGCTCTGCTGTCCTTTTCCTGTGAACACACACTCTGCTGTGGTTCCTCCTCTGAGCTCCTCTTGATAGTCAGCTCTCTCTCTGTTCCCTCGATACAAGGAACTTTGGCCGCCTGGATGTGGAGCTTTCCATCAGGAGAAAGGTGGCAGCTGACGTCTTCATGGTTCACCCCTTCAGGCAGATCAAACTCCTGTCTGAACTCCTGCAGGCTGTAGGAGTAGGAGCCTTTCCCGTCCTCTTGTTTCTTCTCCGTCTTCCCGCTGACTCTCAGCTTCCTGCCCACCTGCCGGACTGACAGATCTTCTGGAGAAAAGCCCTGAGTGTCCAGGGTTAGGCCAAAGTGCTCTCCCTCTTTGTCCAGCTGGTAGGAGACTGGCTGCAGAGCCACGCTGCTCCTGAAAGGCTCTGTGTCCTCCAGGATCTGGCGTTGAAGTTTGTCCATCAGCTGCAGACTGCTGCGCAGCTCCTGTAGGTCTCTCTGCATGACATGCTGCTGGTAGAACAGAGGTCTGACCTCTGGCCACAGACTGCGAACAGGCCAGGAGAAGTCCATGAATGGACTGAGGGCAGACGGGAATCCATGAGAGCACAGCATCTTCCTTCTGTTTAGTTTTGAGTCTTCTTGTTGTTCAGGCGTCTCTTCACTCCTGTGTTTCTTGTGCAGCTTTCTGTCAGTCAGTGGGGCTGTCCGAGCTTTATATTCTAGAGGAGGCGCTCCAGAGGCTTCAGGAAGTTTCTGGTAATTACTACTGAATTCCACTAGGTGGAGCTGTTTCACATTATCTGTCTTGTCTGTGATATTTCTGTTGACAGCGATAATTTGTCTCACATATATATGTTTTTTTTCTTTTTCTCTTCTTAAAATATATCACTATTAATACAAACTACTTCTTTTGTTTATATTGTAAAAAAACATTTTGCTAATTTTTTCCAGCAGTTGTTCTAAAACATAATGTTAACTGAGTCAATTATTTTATTAACCGGAGGCACTACAAGATTCCCCAGGAATTTTCTCTTAATTACCACAGAGCTAAACTTGGTGGAGCAGTTTCACATGAGGGAATTTTCCTTTTACCTTTTGTATCTCTTGATATAATTTATTTGTGTATGATATTTTTCATATAATAGGCACATCAGACTTTTTTTCATGATCATTAACTGTTTCATATTCCAAGTTGTGCTTATTTTCAAAATCTATATTTCATTTAAAAATATATTATTTTATACAATCTTTGTTGAGGTTGAAAGTCAATTTTCCACGACACTGTTAATAATCTTTGGTAGACATCCAATTAAACAATGGACGTCTTTCAGTTTTTCTATTTTTTGCTTATACAATTTCATGATCATTAACCTCCTTCATTTTAATCTAGTTAAATATAATTATTTCACAATACATGGATTCATTGTTTGTGTTTCAGTTATCAGTAAATCATTGGTAAACTAAATTTACCAATGATTAACCAACATCAAGTTCCCATAACTTTTCCTATTCCAATCAATTTTTGTAATAATCTAAATAACTTTATCGCAAAATCTACAGAAAGTGGGACAGCTTATGAAATTTCCTAAATATCTGTTATGTAACTCGTTTAGTATTGTCAAAGTAGTTTGCTTATTTTTACTTGTTTATGTCTTTCTATATTAAGTTGAAGGACCTTTTATGGTGCAGGTAAAAAGCAAAGAATGTAGCTTTGGCCTAATGACAAACATGTAGTTTTGTTGTCATTATTTCCTTTATATACATCTCAGATATTCCATAAACATATATGGAAAGCTCAAGTTGTATTACATTTTTATTTAAGTAATATGACTCTGGGGCTGCCCATGCCTTTGTTGCCTCTCAGTAATAAATGTCCTGAGTGTTTATCTCACAATGTGTCTGAATGTTCTCCCAATGCATGCTTGGATATTCCTCCAAGCATCCAAGTACATGACTGCAAGATCAATTGGTCTCTCTTTTTTTTTTTGCCATTTGGCTCAAATGTGTGAACAAGTATTGGTGTGTGGCCACCGTTATAAATGGACAGAAATCAAATTGTAGTATCATATTTCTTTGATAGGTGGTGCTGATACTATAGAAAGAGGAAGATATGTCATCATTGCTGTGTTTTCAAGATTTTTTTTTTTTTTTTGCCAGACTTGCCAGTCTTCAATGAGAGCATAATACAAACTTCATATTAGATTTAGGTGTGTATTAACTCTATCAACAGCTAGGTTTTCAACTGCGAAAAAGAAAATACATTTCAGATGATACAAATAATTAAGACTGCCGTAAATGTGTTCAAAGCTAATTGCTTCTCGATGTTTTCTCCTAAGTGGTTATCAGCTTAGTAATGGTTCTCCTGTGGTCATCAGATGGACTTATATCTTGTGAGTGCATTACTCCAAACCCATTGTCTGCGTATTAGTACGTCGATCAATAGCTATGGCTAGACAAGTATGGTATTTAGTGTCACAGACAGAAGATGAGAGAGAGAATAGTGTGGATATGCAAGGGAAGGAATTGCATAGCTCTGAACAATGTCTTATTCTAGTTATGAAAATGTACACAAAAAAATATTTTCATATTTTTTCAGACTTTTTTAGGGTCTGAGAAAGTGCAACATAACATGACCACCATCTTAAAATCACAATATAAGAAACAATTTATTGAAAATATTTGGTGTCTCAAGATAAAATCAAAGCATTCTGTTGCAACTTGTGTATACAACACACAATCTCTCACCTACTTCTCTATCCACTGACAGAATCAAATCTTGTTATTTTTCTCCTTAGAAAGCTTCAGCTGTCCTTCTCTAGGGGCCTTTGTGTAAATCATCATTACAAACTGAACTGAAATAGCCTATATCATGGCACTGACTCCACCTGGTTAAGATATTTTAAAGCTTTGCCTTGACTCCTCCAAACCTCCTTCTTGTCCTTATAATTAAAAGCAAAAAATAAAAAACATAAAAATTCACATTGAAGATTAAAGATAATATATAACAAATTAAAATGTGTGAATACAATTCTTGTATTGCGAATCTTATTAAACTTACTAAGTATGTTGACAGTGCAGAACAAAAAAAAAAGATTGATGCATCATCAACGGCTCAAAATTAACAAGGGCAGCACACAAAGTTTCCATAAGCAACGTATGTTTAAACAATTTTATTTGCACATAAAGCATACTTCAGTCTATTCATTTATAAACCTTTATCTTTCTAAAATAGTGGAGAAGTGTTTTTAGATAAAATAGGGCACATTCGCACAAGCAATGACAAAAACGAGAGTTTGAGGTGTGTTATTGCTCTGTAATGTTCGTGTAATAAAGTACCTTCTGAGGTAGATCAGTCTCCTCCTGGGAGTTACATAATTCTCCACAGGAAAGGTTAATTAAAGGTGACCTTACCATGCACTGCCTCCTGGCCACAGTGTGTAATTTTTTTCAAATTAGTATAGTGGCCGCAGTCGTCTGGTACTTACTAAATCCTATTTGCTTTGCAAATGAGACTCAGCATTGAGCAGGCAGGTTCTGGAGCTGTTTCCATAGGGTCAGCATTTCCTTTGGATTCCGTCTGTGAACGAGTAGAACAGATCTGTACGCACACGGATTGTTTCTGTCTGTAGCGGGGAGATCAAATGTTAAGAAACCCGGGTGGTGGACTGGAGAAAGCCCGAGTCTGTTTAGGCACATCCCAAGGTAGACATCATCAATAGGGAAAAGGCGAACCCTTTCAGACACCTCCCGTAAACGTAAGGCGAGTGAGCCTGAATATACTACTCCTCCTCCACCGGCGTAAGGTGGGTATACACCTTTGTAAAAACTTTCCGGTATGTAGTATTTCATGGATGGCTCACGGTTCGGCATTGCGTTGCTGATCACGTCGCCGACAAACAAATTCATGTCTGTTTCATTAGTATAGATTCTCCAAAGCTTGTGCTCCTCCACTTTTTTATGCAGGTAACTCAGAAGGGCATCTGTCCGAACAAAAACATCATCATCCCCTTTGAAGACAAAAGTGGCGGTAGGGCAGTACTGCTTGAACCAACTCCACAGCAGCAAGTCTTTCAAGGTCAAATTGAAGAACGTATCCCTGAAATCCCACTGCAGAATATCTCCGTACTTCTCGTTCTCAAGTTCCAGAAGGTTGTTCAGGTCTGGGTAAGGGCCTGTACTCGAGTCCTGCCTTCCGAGCAGGAAAACCGTGCGCACTAATCCCCCTTTTGTATTGAACTCCCCCCTCACCCGTCCGCTGCGTCCCCATGTTTCACGTATGGCCTGTCGGTTTTCAAAGTTCCCCACTTGTGATTTGATAGCGATGAGGAGCATTGGAGACCCCACCCTGGTGGTATCATTGTTCCTCTGACACATACCAGGCTGGTTGATAAGAAGAGGATACTTCCTGCAGTGCATTGACTTGATAAATGCTCTAATTTGCTCTGGCATGCTGTTGAAGTCATTCACACTAGGAACTGAACACTTCTGTGACATGCAGTCTGATAGACAATCATCCTCAATTTCAGTGAAATGCTGACCTTTTGGGCTTCTCTGCATCCCAGTTAGGTTTCCCCTTAATATCGGATTGTGCTGACGGTCCCAGGTGTGCTGCAACTGGTTCCACAGTGCACTGTCCTCCAGGCGAAGGTTCCAGAAAGGACCAAGTGGGTGTGAGGCCAGGGTGGAGGAATTGACTGAAATCCCCGGAGCAATGTAGTGAATGATTACTTTTGGAGGAGCGTAAGAAATGGTGACAAATATGGTCACCATGATGTAAATCACAAGGTGTCCAGTCATCATACATGGCAGCAAGCACATGCATAATAGTCTCCCGTTGCATTTGCAGAATTTTCCCATCGTTGCACAAGCCAAAAACCTGCACAAAAAGCAGAGTTTCATATGAATATATAAATAATCAAAACAGATAACGTCATAACATTATATCCGCTCTCTCTTAACAGGAAACACAACAGTGGGATAGATCAGATTTTGCAAATCCCCTTTAACGCTCTGGAGTTTCTGTTCCCTTGGTGACTGTCCAGTGGGGGTTATTATCTGTTCTTGTTGACACTCTGAACTTCATCCAGTACAGCTGAATACCTGAGCCCCTGAAGAAAATATTATACAAAAGGCAACCCCTTTGTCTGTCATTTGATATAAGTATTCCTCTCTACACTTGCTTTGTCAAGTATTGTCACTATTCTCATACGTATTACTTACCACTGGTTGAAATCTCACTGGAGCAGCTGGAAAACAAGAAAGGAAAAATAAAAAGCCAAGTCTCCAGTCTTCTGCTGTCTGATGTGGTTATGAATCGGTCATTTCAGGGCCCACCTGTTGAATATCCCTTATACTGCAACAGCACATCCTCTAACTGTACATCTATCAAGTGCTCCTCTAGTGCTGTGCCAGGAGCAGCTGAGCAACGCGTCCCAGATGAGGCAGCTTGTGCACAACGAGCATGCGTCTCTTTGACTCCTCATTAGATAATGAGGAGAAAACACCCACAAGGAGGGCGTATTATCTTTAGTGAACACTGACTAATGTTGCTCTGTGATTTCTCAGAAGCAGATTTGATTTGCATCTATGCTCTACAGGCAAATATTGGCATGGTACAAGCCAAATGGGAAACCAAAATGAGATTAACCGTGTAATGGTTCTGTTGTGAGTGATTTGTCAAGGCATATTTAACTGAGGCTACAAAAGTTTATATGAAAATACAGTGACTTGCAAAATTATCCACGCCTCTTGCACATTTCCACAATGTTTTACAATCAGAAGCTTCAAAGTTNATCGAGGGAACAGAGAGAGAGCTGACTATCAAGAGGAGCTCAGAGGAGGAACCACAGCAGAGTGTGTGTTCACAGGAAAAGGACAGCAGAGCAGAAACACACAATGGATCATAAACAAACCTGAAAACATGGGCTCACATACATGTTTATGTGCCAATAACAAGTTTTCTTGTTTTTCAATGTTGGCTTTCTACTTTTTGCATTGAAGAAAATACTTTGTCAAAATTAGGATTAATACCATTTATGGTTGATTTTGTCATTTTTTGTTTTATTTTTTTAGCTTTGTGTTGTGAAAAATTGAAAGTTTAAAATGATAATTTAACAGAAGACATATGAGGAATATATAAAACTAAAGTAATCCATAAATAAAACTATGTTTAATATGATTTATGAAATCTTCTAAAAAATAAAGTGTTTACAGTGTTAAAATCCACTTTGTTCATGTAAATCTTGTGTTCTTTATTTAAGGATCACCATTATACATTAAGCACTGCTGTAACAGTTTATACTGCAGGCTGTTTCATAAACTCATGATTTTTCTTTTGTAACATATAAAGAGACACTGTTTAATCATATTTTAGCATAAACCCATCTCAACATAATAGCTTAAAGTGAAATTATTGAATTATTCATGGTATGTGGGCTGCACAGTAGTGCAGTTGGTAGAGCTGTTGCCTTGCAGCAACAAGGTTCTGGGTTCAATTCCTGGCCCTGGACTTTCTACATGGAGTTTACTTGTTCTCCCTGTGCATGTGTGGGTTTTCTCTGGGTACTCTGGCTTCCTCCCACAGTTCAAAAACATGACTGTTAGGTTAATTGGTCTGTCTAAATTCTCCCTAGGTGTGCATGGTTGTTTGTCCTGTGTGTCTCTGTGTTGCCCTGTGACAGATTGGTGATCTGTCCAGGGTGTACCCTGCCTCTCACCCAGAACATTAGCTGGAGAGGCACCAGCACCTCTCCTGACCCCACTAAGGGATAAGGGTGTAAAGAAGATGGATGGATGGACTCATGGTATGAATTTTTAGCTTGTATCTAATGGATGTTTTTGTCATCTCTACATTTGCACCCAGTTTCATTACAATTTCAGACCAGCTTTGTTTCCACTATAGAATGAGTTGTGGTGATTAGAGCATCTGATCAGGATGACCTGTTGGTACCGCCAAGGTTTTCCAGGCACATTAAGTGGACTTACTTACAAAAGTAAGTAAGTCCACTTGGAAGAAACCTCAGAGAAGACCCTCAACTTCCTTGAGGGACTACTACCCTGGGGAGACCTCAGAATGGACTCAAACTTTGCAAAGCAACATACCATGGGCAGATGGATGAATGTGTTGGACATTCTTACTCATGACTCCATGAGAATTTTCACATTTTGTTATTTTTTCAACACATATTTGTCACAGATTTGGTCTGTTTTTATTTGTTTTTACTTTTATTTCAGATGCGTAGGATTTTAATTTCATGTTTAAGTGAATTTCACAATTGGTTGGACTTAAACAGTCTTCATTTATAAGCTGGATATCTTATTTTTATTTTAACACAAGTGAGATTTTTGTAGTAAAAAAAAAAGAAAGAAAAGCACATGTCTTCATTGAAAGTTGATCATCATGTTGCTTGACTTTTCAAATTTTCAGGTTTAAATAAATTGTTCCCTTGTGTTTATATTTACCTCTACTGCAAAATAAAAACATTTTCAAAATGTTATGTTTCAAAATGTACATAAATTAGTATTTCATAATGGAAGATGGTGGGACAAAAGTAAGTAACCATGACTTATTTCTTAAAACAAAGTTTAAACTTTATTTAAAAAGGCTTTTTCCCCCAAACAATTAAAAGTACAAAATCAGCACTTAAAAACAAACAACTAAAACGAGATTATATTTCTTTCTCTGCTCTGCTGTCCTTTTCCTGTGAACACACACTCTGCTGTGGTTCCTCCTCTGAGCTCCTCTTGATAGTCAGCTCTCTCTCTGTTCCCTCGATACAAGGAACTTTGGCCGTCTGGATGTGGAGCTTTCCATCAGGAGAAAGGTGGCAGCTGACGTCTTCATGGTTCACCCCTTCAGGCAGATCAAACTCCTGTCTGAACTCCTGCAGGCTGTAGGAGTAGGAGCCTTTCCCGTCCTCTTGTTTCTTCTCCATCTTCCCGCTGACTCTCTCAGCTTCCTGCCCACCTGCCGGACTGACAGATCTTCTGGAGAAAAGCCCTGAGTGTCCAGGGTTAGGCCAAAGTGCTCTCCCTCTTTGTCCAGCTGGTAGGAGACTGGCTGCAGAGCCGCGCTGCTCCTGAAAGGCTCTGTGTCCTCCAGGATCTGGCGTTGAAGTTTGTCCATCAGCTGCAGACTGCTGCACAGCTCCTGTAGGTCTCTCTGCATGACATGCTGCTGGTAGAACAGAGGTCTGACCTCTGGCCACAGACTGCGAACAGGCCAGGAGAAGTCCATGAATGGACTGAGGGCAGACGGGAATCCATGAGAGCACAGCATCTTCCTTCTGTTTAGTTTTGAGTCTTCTTGTTGTTCAGGCGTCTCTTCACTCCTGTGTTTCTTGTGCAGCTTTCTGTCAGGCAGTGGGGCTGTCCCAGCTTTATATTCTAGAGGAGGCGCTCCAGAGGCTTCAGGAAGTTTCTGGTAATTACCACAGAACTCCACTGGGTGGAGCTGTTTGACTGGGAGGATGATATCGCTCTTCCAGACCTAAACGTCTTTATGTGACTATTGATATCAACAGATGCGCAGTAAAATTTTAAATAGTCTTTATTCATCATTTACTCTTGCCAGATTTGCAATTGGTTAGTTTTTTATTTTTTTTATTTTATCAAATACATAATTTTTGGGCTACTATAGAAGGTCTAATATTTTACCTTTTGCTTTATTTATTTTTTTTTTCTAAAAGCATGACGTCACCTGTCGTTAAATTAACTATGAACTGATAACATCTGAATAAATTGTGTATCAAATTCAAAAGAAGTCTTACTTTTGATGAAAATTGATGGAATAATTAATGAGACACAATTTGCACACAGTGGAGTGATTCCTAAACGCCAGTTCTTTCATTTATTTCATCAATGAAATCAGTTCCCCGTGACTAAGTTCAGCCAATGAGCTGATCGCACCTGCAGCCACTCACAGCTTTTTAGGAGCAATTAGGAGCTTCCATTCACTGACTGCTGGGGCAGACAGGAGCCGGGATCCACGGCTGTCTGCTGCAGGAGGCATCTACACGCGTTTAAACGGGACTCGGGTTTAGTCGAACACTGTAATGCAGCTGAAACATAACAACCCGATGGAGAAACGCACGGACCTGCCCTCGCTGTTCTGCATGATCGGGCGCCACGGACCCGCCGTGGCCGTGGCTGTGATTGCCGTGGTATCAGTAGTGGCAGGGTTCATTATCTACCGGACCGTGAAGGGGAAGCGGAGGAAGGCCGAGGCTGGACCCGGAGCCGGAGACGTGAGCGGCGGCAGCAGCAGCAGCCAGGGTGCGCCTAGAGACGCGGTGCAGCCGGAGAAGGAGCCGAGTCCGGAGCATGAGGCACGCAGCCGTGTGGAGTCAACAGGTACAGTCACTGGTGGCGAGGAGGAAAACAAAAAACTGTTGCCTTTTAAAGGTAACAAAAAAATATTATAGGTTTTTGTTTAAATGTCTTTTGAACTACATGGGTCATTTGTACCCTACAACTCTATCCCGCTTGTCTCTGAGCATGATGGAAGTGGTGAAAGGTTTCTTAATTTCCTCGTAGTATTAACTACTAATTTTAACTGACAATCCGGGGCAAACTATTAATGTTTTTCCCCTATAGTCCTGTGAGTTGGCACGGACACAACTTGGGCTTCTCCTTTGATCTCCTTAAACCTGAAGTTATTCACTTCCTCTATGAAGATGTGCATTTCAAATGCTTAAGGAAAACGATATTGATTACAACTTTTCAAAGTAAACTGTTGTAGATGTAATGGCCTCTTTTTAAAAGAAATTCATTTGACAAATGCTGTAGTGCAATTAAGATTATGCCTCTGTCAAAGTTGCAACCATTGATGCTAAATTTAGTAAACCATTCATCTAGAATGAATTTATTTTGGTTTCAGTTAAGTTTTTTTTCAAATAACTTTTTGATAACAGCTCCTGTGACTTACTAGTAACTTTCATATTAACTTTTCAAGTAAATATGGAATATTTTAGCTAATATTTCTAGCTAATGTTTCTTGTTGCTCAGAAAATATTTAATGACCAAATCATGCAATCATGTGAAAACCCACCCCAGGACAAATGCCATACAGAGCCTTCACTTGGCAAACAATTGAAGCAAACTGTGGCTCACTTTTTGATTTAAATCCATTTATTTTGTGGTCTGGAATACAAAGGCAAACATTAAGTTTTAAAAAGACAAAATGCAGATTATCTTTTTTCAAAGCTGGGCAAATAACATTTGCATATTAAACAGACTGGGTCAAACATTTTGTCAAAAGGACCCAGTATGATTAAAAAATATCCTAACATGCGAGTTTATTTCTTTAATGTAGACCTAACTTGTCATTCCTGAAAAGAACCTGAAGTCACAATTTGCTTCCAAAAAAAAGTTTGTCCTCACCTTTGATGCCCTTCCATCATAATTGTGCAGATATTTGCTAAAGATGTTAAAAGTTGGGCAATGGCAATATTTTATAAACTTGCAGTTTTAATCAAATTGAATACTGATTTTTATAAATGCATGGAAAATAAATGATGTAATTGACTTGTTTAAAGGAGCAAATAACTTTCATTTGCTCTTGTTTAAATTATTTGCATCATAATTAGGAGTTGGTGATATTTTAAACTTAATGCTCAACTTTATTCTTCTAGAAACTTTGACATCATCACAAATCTGAAACTGGCCAACTTTTGATGTAGATTGAGTTGAATACATGGGTTAAGTTAAAGTTCAGTCACCACATCTGAAGTTGTAGCCTCAAGATTGCAACCTAAACATCTGTTGAAGTTAAAATGGGTTCCATTTGTTTTCTAGATGTGTTTAAGGAGGTTTCAAATGCGGGGGATGGAGCTGTAATTCGAAGTCGCCGTAAACTGAAGAATCGCCGTGCCACTGCTAAGGAAAGTCCTCGGTCTTCTAGTCCGCTTAAAGAAGTAAAACCAGAGAAACTCCAGAATGCCTCGAAGGTGGAGGACACTTCCGGTGTTACTCAAACAGATGTGGAGGAGACCATTAAGAGCCTGCAAGATGGCACTTGTGAAGTTGGGAATTTGAATGTGGAAGATGAAGGCTACAAACATAATCTTGTTGAAAGGCCAAATGATGCAGAGGGAAAACATAATGGGTCCTTGGAGCCTGTAGTGGTTTCTGAGAATCTTGCAAATGAAGAAAAGGTGAGTA